CAAGCTTGCCGGGATGGCTGGCCGGTCCAGGTCAAGTGAAGCAGTGGGTACCGCGAACTATTTTCAAGATGTATTTTTGCTTTGGGGAGATGCATGTAATTAAGTTTCTCCACCTGAACAGCACAAAATTTTAACACAAAACACTTTAACACAAAACTCACTGCAGAGTTTTGCTGGGTACTTGCCTGATTTTTTTCAAATTCATCCCCTATTTCGAGGAAGCAAATGGCACAAACTTTGCACTGTAACTTTCAAAATGCATAACACTGCATCACCCCAAATCTGCAAATTTTTAAACATCCATAAAGATCTGAAGGGGTCAGGAAAGTTTTTTTGTATAAGGATACTCTTCTGAGCTGCGTACATCCACAGTCAGAATAAGCGGCCGACTGGCCCTGTTCTTCTTCGTCGGTGAGCGTGAGCCGGGGGTGGAACCAGGCTTAAGGTCACACAGCTCCAGAAGATCCTCAGCAGAGATGCGTGGACTGACTTCAGTCTTCAATTCTGCCAGACTCAGTGGCTCACGAGACTGAAGGGAAAACAATGGACAAAGGTTAGATTTATCTACAACCAGTTTCTGCATCAGCAACCCTTGGTGGTGAAAAATAGACAAGGGTGACACTCTAAAACATCAATGACACTGTGCATTCCACATCCACACAAAGCTGCTATGTGCTCTAATATAAGCACCTCCTCCCAACAGAGACCAGAGAGGTTGCAGGAGTTTTTTCAACAAGGCTAGTGCATGCCCCTAGTGTGTGTGTGTGCAATTATCAAACATTCTAGCAGACATGGGTTGTCCACGAACAGCATGACTCGTGCTATGTGAACCTGAACCTATACAGGCACTACTGCTGTGTAAAAACACACCATCTCCTTTCCTGCATGGACTGAGAAGTTTGCATTACTACTTTTGCAAACTCAAAGCCAGTCATTGGAAAATAGGGCTGAGTCAATTTGAATCATTCACTATTCAAATATTTGACCTTTAATTTGATCGAATATCTGAATATTCTGCAACCGATTGGCAGATCATTGATGAACAAACCATTTTTCAAACTCAGGAAACCAAACTTTAAATGGTTACCATGGCCACACTATACACTTTTTAGCAAAAAACTTGGTACCATCTAAAAGTAGAGAAAAGATGCTTTCCGATGATACCTCATTCATGATTTGACAGTAACGCATCACTGAGCACCAATGTGTTGAAATTTAGGTGCATAATAGGGGATGGCTCACTTACTAGGACAATGAAATCAACATTGCCTCTTCAATAATTGATTTGGGTGTGAGTGGAAATGCCTTTGCTGAGTATGCAACCATTCTTGGATAAAAACCTGAGGGCTTTGACAGGTCTTCAGACAGTGTGTGAACCCGAGGTCAGTAGTAGTAATCATTTAAAGTTGGATTTCCTTTTTTTTTAGATACACCTTGTATAATCACTATACTAGCTTCTCACTTCTAGGACTATCTCCAGCCACGATCTACCAAGATTTAACAGACGAACACCACTTCTTGCCCTGTTGACAATTTATTCTTTTTAAAAGTTTTAATGAATGATTTAGGTTTTGAATTGTTGCAAGATATATTATTCTGTTGCTTTTTATATGAATCTGCTTGAAACAAGCCTCCATAGTGCAATTTTTTTCTCATTTAAAACAAAAGAAAATTCTCCCATCCTTTTCATGAATGTTGCATTTGAATATTCAAATTCGGAAAATAATATTCAAATATTCTATAACCAATTGAAAACTTGGCACAGCCAGACTGGAAACCAGTGAGAAGGCAAGGTATGTTAACCTGCTAGAGACCCTAGCATGGTGGAACAACTCCTGTCTCTCTGAGCCCATATAACCTACAATGATTATCTCTAAGAAGATTCAGTGTCATTCAGGAGCCTCTTAGAAAAGCTATAAAAGGCTAACTGGGGTTAGATGTATCAGATTCATAATGAGTCCAGATTATTTATATGATGTTATATATCACCACCACACCAGATATGTGCAAACAAGTATGTAAAAGTTGTGTGTCCTTCCTATGGAGAACATCATTCTCAAAAAACTTCCTTTCTCTTGTTCACACATGGAAGGTGTACTGTTTACATGCAAATTCATTGCCATTCAAAAGCCACTAACCAACTCTGACAAAGGAACATCATTATAATCAGTACTGTAGTAGGAGACAGGCTTGATTTGAGAGGTAACTGGGTTCTCTTGGTCGGGTCTACGTGGTGGTTTAGCATGCTGTCTGTAGGTAGCACTCTTAGGTGTGTTGCAAAAGATGCGGATGGACTCACGCACACATTTCTCAATGTCAATTTCTGTCAAACAAAAGAAAAGAGACATGCCATCAATACACCTGCATATAACGAGGAGAGCGTTTGATTGATGAATTGTATTCTAGTATGGCATTCAGCAAAAGAGCCTTTAATGTTATACTGTTATAACAAGGTGCTTCATGCCAAGGTACCTCATCACAATATAACCCCAAAAAGAGCTGGGGGGGGGGAGATTCCATCACCCCTTAACGTTTTCTCCAATATCATCAAGCTAACATGCGTTTTTCAGTAATGTTCTTGCAAAATGTCCATTTTTCCAAGGCAGGTCAGCCGGAAAATGTGATGCATACTTTCCCTTTTACAAGCTGCCCACCTGGTAGTTGGGACTAAAAGGTCTGACAGCACTACCAAAATTCTCTGTCAACTTCACTGGCTCCCCATTCGGATACATATACATGTACTGTTTTAAGATTGTTCTTTTGGTCTTCAAATCCTTGAATGGATCAGGCCCCGAGTACATTAGTGAGCTCCTGACCCGATGTGTTCCTTCTCGCTCCTTACTTTCAAGCTCTCCTGGGCTGCTGCGACATCTTGGAGAAGTAGGAAGGACTCTTTCTACCTATGGAGACATATCATTCTGTATTGCTGCACCAGTGGAACAAGTTGCCTCTCTATGTTAGGAAGTGCCCCTACTGTCAGTTGTTTCAAACTTGTCTGAAAGATCTGTCTTTTGTAACTTATAACATTTCGTTTTGCTTTTATTTTAATTTTTATAGTTTTTATGTTATAATGATCATTACTTCACTGGGAGGTATAACTTGGGGCTCTGCCAGTCTTGGAGGGTAGGACGTGGGTGACTGACCAGACACTCAGCACCTCCATCCCCTCATCACCTGGAGATCAGCAGACCAGTGAAGATACCAGCAGGGCCCAAGCCCGCAACACGTTGACTGCCGTGCATAATTTCAAAGGGGTGTTCTCATTTTGCCAAGCACTGTGTGAGAGCGCACATATTTAATAGGTAACTTTTAAGGTGTCTATTTGAACATGAGCATGTTACAGACGTATGTCCTCAACATACACTACCAGCAGCATATTGGTTGTGTTCTTGGGTGATGCCGTGCAGTGTACTCAATCTACATTACAATAGCCTTTCATTTCCTATGAGTATATTGGTAGTGGCAGATTCAAGTACACCTTACGAGTATACTCGTAGTCAGCAGTCAAAGTGTTAAAACGTCTGGGAAACAGCTGGCCTTGTAGGACCTTTTAGACAAGGTGCTTTGTGTCTGGGGGATCCCCCATGCCCAGCCTCCTTACAGGATCCCTCGGATACACTGTCCCAGTGAAATAGCTCTTTTGCAGTATTCTAATACATGTAACTACTTTAATGTATTACTCATTTTTAATTTTCATGTATCTTTGTCTTCTGATAAATCAGCATATATCACCCTGAGGTTAATTAGCAGTAGGGGTTGCCAAATCCATTTTAATGTTATCATTATTATTCGTGTGTGATCAATGCACACAGGTCAGCATTGCATGAGACCATCAACTTCAAATGACTGAAACAAAACCAAATGTTGATCAGAATTAAAGCTTCACAGATACATGCCAACTTTCAGAAAGATCTGATACTGGACAGTCGCCTTCAGTCGGCTGTGAGTTGGTCAGAAAAAGCCTGGCTCTTTTAGGATTAATGGCAGATCTTGCAGAATGCTGTGTTAAAAGAATAAAAGCTAAGAGCTCTGTGCACTGCAACATTGAACATGTACGGTATTTGCTGGTAATGAGTTGCCAACATAAGCATATTGCAGGTAGGTTTCATTTTTTTCTGCTGACTGCGACCTAAGAACCGCTACAACTATTAATACATTCACAAATTCCTCATCCAGAAGTAGTTGACTTAAATACATGTAGTCTATGTTAATCAAGTATTTCCCAAGATTCCCAAATTTTCCTGATCATCTTCCTAAATCCTATTAACTACTTTGTGCAGGGGCATTTTTCAATGTTGATGATGCTGGGCCGGCATGACTATCATTTTTTCCGTTTTCAAAATCCTTCAAAAATTCATCATTTCATTTTACGGTCGTTTATAGCCACACGAAGTAATC